GGGCAACCCCTCGAAAAACAAAACATAAACACGGGGCATTTCTAAGGTCAGACCGCAAACGTTTGAATTGACATTTCCGGACGCCTTTTGTATCCAATGTAATAGTAATACCCTTCTTGTTCGTGAACGCGTACGGATGTTCGAAATCCACAAACATAACGCAAACGAAGGAGGTTTTGCGAGCGTTCGGACTGATAACATGTAGTACGTGTCTGACTGCCACGTCTCATCCAAAAACTCTCTCCACCCAAAGAACCCTCTCCGCGCGAAGCGGTCGACGCACATTCATGCTGGTCAGGCCGCTGCATGCGGACGCGACTTCGCATGGCATTGATGTCGGTCAGAGCGGTGTCAATGAACAAGCGGGCGTCACCATTTCAGTGTTGATGCGGTGTCCGAGAAGCCTACTCAGCCGCCGCATTAAAGTCGGCTTCCCATCCATTCGCTTGACGCGCAACTTCGACGCTGTGCAAACCACACCGCCCCACTCCTCTCAGCTCACAACCTCTTCGATCCTCTCCGCTCTGGCGGCGTCCACACCTCACCATGCAGAAATCTTGGTTCTCCGCACCGGCAAGCAATGGCTCCTGATACGGATCATAGCGCCGCCGCATCGCTCTCCGAAGCCTTTGACCTCCACGGTGGCGAAGGAGCAGTCGCCGTACCAGCAGTTGTGTATCTTCTCAGAGGCGGCAGTCACGGATGTGGAGTACCGGCAGCACATTGAGCTCTTGATCGAGCAGTCAGTCTACGATCGTGGTCCAGCACCGCTGTCGCTGCCATGAGCCCGTGTCAAGGAGGAGTCGCTACAGTAAACCGAACTACAGTATTCGATTTTGGACCACTCGCTACAGTAAACCGAACTACAGTATTTGATTTTGTTTAACCTGGTATAAGTCTCTTTGGCATGGTCTTAAGTAAAAGTTGATTTCCCTGAAAAAAGTAAAAGTTGATAACATTAATAAAATAAAATATTTGTGGAAATATAAAAAAATCCCGTGTTTAAAAACAAATGCATGCATTATTATTAAAAAGTGTGCACACAATTTTATTTTATTTTATTTTTGACAATGCAAAAAAAAATTTGTTTCGTGCCACTCAAAAATGTATATCAAATTTGATGGAAACATTCCAGCATATCATGAAAATGTCCATGCATTAAAAGTTGATATATAAAATATGTAAGAAAAAAATCATGTTGGTTAAAACTTTTCGACGAAAAAGCGTATCATGACTTTTAATAAATATCCCTATGTTTCCGAAAATTTCTATGATTTTTTAAAAAAATTATACAATGTAAAAGCAATGTTTATGCCGTCCATTTCATATTAATCATCACTGATCTAGTGCAAATATGTACTAAATCAGCGACAATTAAAATGGATCGGAGGGGTTAGTTTAAAAGAAATGTTTACATGTATTTGAAATAAAATCCCATGGATTTAAAAAGTGTTCAAAACATGGGTTTAAAAAAGTTATTTGTCACCCATTTGGAAAATGCCTAGCGTGTACCATAAAATTGTATCATGTGTGCTATAAAATTTATATTGTGTAGCGAGAAAAGGTAGACATGTGTTGAGAAAAAGAACAAAAACTGATAAAACCCGACTAAAAAGAAAAAGAAAACCTATTGTATTGAGAAAACAAAGAAACCATAGCATAGCGAAAGAAAGAACAAACCAAAATAAAATCAATGAGAAAACAAAGAAACCAAAGTAAAGCGGAGAAAAATATAAAAAAAACCCAAAGAAAACCAGTGAAAAACAAAACAAATCGAAAAGAATAAAAGGAACCAAAAAAGAAAAAGAAAACGTAACGAGCACCCGCTCTAAACTGGGCAGGCCCGCTATTGTGGTCCGTAGACGAGAAGAAGCAAGAAACTTTGTCTAAAAAGAAAAAGAAAAAAAAGAAAGCCTTGTTTACCCTGTTCGTCATCCCCATCACGGCCTGCTTGCTTCAATTCCCAACCAAAACAGCAGAGCAGTCCGGCTGTTAACCTGACCCCGCCGCCACCAATTTACCGCCGCCGCCGCCGCCGCCGCGGGCGGGGCTCCCTTCTCCTGCTCCCCTCAGGTAGGCCTTACGCTCCTCGTGTATCTCCCTCGTCTTTTCTAGATCCATTCCCCTTCCATTTAGACCGATTATCCCGCCTGCGGCCTGCATCTAATTCGGGAGGTGATTTGGTGCTGTGCATGCGGTAGGTTGAAACGGTGAATGAATTCTAAGCCTACCGAGCAGAGCAGTCCCTCCCACTGAACCCTCTTCTTCTACCTCATGATTAGGTCTTGAATCCGATTTGTTCATCCCCCCTCTTTTCATATCTTATTAGTATATCACGCTGCTCATTAAGCAATTTGCTGTTGCTTCTGGCAGCACAAAACAAGCAAAATTGAATGCTACTGAAGCAATTGTATTCTTTTGGAAAATGTTCAGAAATATCAAAATATCTTCACAAACAGGAAAAATTGTTCGGAATTTCGATAATTGTTCACAATTTTCAAAATAGTTCAAAATTTCAAAAAATGGAACGAAAAAACCATTCACATTTTTGAAAAAAATCAAAAATTATCCGCATTCAAAAAATGTAGGCGTTTTGGAAAAACTCAATTTTATTCAAAATTTGTTCGAATTGTTTTGGACCACTCGCTACAGTAAACCGAACTACAGTATTCATTTTTGTTTAACCTGGTATATTTTTTTTGGCACGGTCTTAAGTAAAAGTTGATTTCCCTAAAAAACGTAAAAGTTGATAAGATTAAAAAATATATTGTGGCAATACCAAAAAAATCCCGTGTTTAAAAAGCAAATGTATGTGATATTATTAAAAATTGTGTACACCATTTTATTTTATTTTTGATAATTTCATAAAATTTATTCGCGCCACTAAAAATGTATATCACATTTGATGGAAACATTCCCGCATATCAAGAAAATGTTCATGCATTTAAAAAATGATATATAAAATGTGTAAGAAAAAAAGTCATGTTGGTTAAAACATTTCCACTAAAAATCGTATCATGACTTTCAAAAAATAACCACGTGTTTCAAAAAAAATTCCATGATTTTTAAAAAATATTATACAATGTAAAAAAGCAATGTTCATGCCATCCGATTCATATTAATTATCGCCGATCTAGTGCAAATTTGTACTAAATCAGCAACAATTAATATGGATCGGAGGGAGTAATTTAAACAAATGTTTACATGTGTTTGCAAAAAAATGTTCCCATGTATTCAAAAAGTGTTCAAAACATGCATTTCAAAAAATGTCATGCGTTTGAAAAATGTCATGCGTGTATCATAAAATTGTATCATGTGTGCTCTAAAATGTACATTGTATACTGACAAAAAAGATAGACATGTGTCGAAAGAAAAATGAAAGCCGATAAAACCTGACTAAGAAGAAAAAGGAAAACCAAAACAATCTATGAGAAAACAAAGAAACAGAAATATAACGATAGAAAGAATAAAAGAAAGGAAAACCAATGAGAAAACAAAGACATCAAAGTAAAGTGAAGAAGAAAATCCACAGAAAACCAGTAAAAGAACAAACCAAAGAAAATAAAATAAAAGGAACCATTCGAAAGGCACTGGCTTGTAATGGTGAAATTCTTACTGAAAGCACAGCTATGCCCGGAGCGAGCACCCACTTTAAAATGGGCAGGCCCGATACTATCATCCGTAGACGAGAAGAAGGAAGGAACTTTGAGGAAAGGCGTTTTGGCTCCCGGGAGCGCGTACTCCCACGTGAATAGTAAACAAAAAATACGTGTTAGTGTCGCAAGCATCCCGGCAGCCAAAACGCCATTCCCCAATCCCTATATAGAAAATGTTTTTTAAAAATGATTATTTTTGTAGATGTTCATGTTAGTGTCGCAAGCATCCTTAAAAATTTCACTGCAAAACGGAACAACGGTGTTTCGCAGGTGAAATAAATAAATTTTGGGTGACATTTTGAGATAACATTTGGTGTTTTTTTTGCACATGCAAAAATGTTTAATCTTTTTGCCTACAAAATGTAGCATTTAGATGTGACAAAGAACACACAGAATTTTTCTTGGAATTTTTTTGATATTTCAAAGTATATTCTCGCACGCTAGCACCAACGGATTTTCAGGAGCTTTGTCTCAAAAGAAAAAAAAAAGCCTTGCCTTTTTTTACAGCGTCCCTGAGCCTAATTTACCCTGTTCCTCATCCCCACCACGGCCTGCTTGCTTCAATTCCCAACCAAAACAGAGCAGTCCAGCTGTTGACTTGACCCCGCCGCCACCAATTCACCACCGTCGTCGTCGCCGCCGCCGCCGGGGCTCCCTTCTCCTGCTCCCCGCTACCCACTCCCCTGCCCTCAGGTAGTAGGCATTACGCTCCCCATCTCCCCGTGTATCTCCCTCGTCTTTTCTTGATCCATTCCCCTTCCATTTAGATCGATTATTATCCCGCCTTCATCCACTAATTCGATAGGTGATTTGGTGCATGCGGTAGGTTGAAACAGCGATTGGATTCCGCTCATACCGAGCAGAGCACTCCCTCCCACTGAACCCTCTTCTTCTTCCCCATGATTAGGTCTTGAATCCTATTTGTTCATCCGTCACTATTTTTTCCCCTCTTTCATATCTCCGCTCCTGAAGCAATTGCCCTGTTTAGTCGTTTCTTTCTTTACAAAGGACAGAGCTTTGTACATCACAGAATTATGCTGTTACAATCTCTCTCATCACATGTTACATTTTTTCGCATCGGCAGTAGGAGGATATCAACACTTATGCTCAAACACAAGTATATGGTTGAGGCATTGTTTTGCACCTATATTATATAGTTGAGGCATTGTTTGTATGCATGCACATCAGTGGATGCTGTTTAGCTCTATGGGCTATATTCTGTTGCATCTACACAGCAGCGTCTTGAATGAATTCATTTTATCATACTCCTCAAACTACATTTTCTTTCTTGTCTCATGTTTTCCCCTCTTATCTGTTACACCTGTCCAGAAACAGTTAATTCAGATGAAAACCAATGGATCATCTGCCAAGAGTCAGGAAATCGGGTCAAAAAGAAAGTGGAAGAACCAACATGAACATACAGCGAAGCAGATCGCATGGCATTCCTTTGGGTACCAAGGCCACTATCCGCAACAGAGGCCTGCACGGGATGGTGCTTCACTCACCCCCTTGCCAGGGAGGCAAAATGATTTCCATGTTTCAGGAGATCGATTCTTTCTGACGTCCAGCCCATACCAACAAGATCTGGAAAGTAGGTACATCCAGGACAAAATGAACGGTGTAATCACTTGTTTGGTCTGTGGCAGCCAAGGACATTACAGTTCTGAGTGCCATTTCAAGGACCAAGAGCACAAAATCATTTGCGCAGTCTGTAGCAAAAATGGCCACTGTAGCATGTGGTGTTGCCAGCAGAACAAGTTGGAGAATCGCGCTTGCACCCGCTGTGGAGAGATAGGGCATACTACCAGTACACATGGTCTCGGTTGCTCAAGCTGTGACGAGTATCATGACGATGGAGAGTGCCGTTTAAGCCAAGTTAAATGCTTTATCTGTGAATGTCAAGATCATTATCTTGCTCAGTGCCCCTTGAATTCAGTATTGACTGAGGCATTTCAGGGTCAGAGACGGAACTTACAAGCCGCTCTGCGGCTTGCACTATCAAAACAACGCAACCCATCATCTACACCTGCCAAGTATTACGCAAAATCAGAAGGAGAAGTACTGACCGCCAACAAGTCTAGTCCAATTTGCTTTACATGCCGTGAAGAAGGTCACTTTGCCTTTCAGTGTCCTCAGAACAGCCCCGGCCAGTCCGAAGAACTTGAAGAGAGCAACACTATAGCTACATCCGCCAACCTGTCCGAAGAATTAGAAGAACGGGACCCTGATACAGGTACTGCTAAACAATCATCAGAAAGGAAGCCGATATTGTACGATCAGTGTTGCCCCTCAAAAGCAAAAGTACTGACCCCCAACAAGTCTAGTCCAATGGTTAGAACATGTAAAACAAAAACAGAAGGGAAGAAAAGGATGTGCTTTACATGCCGTGAAGAAGGTCACTATGCCTGTATGTGTCCGCAGAAGCTCGGAGCTATATCTGGCAACACGTCAAAAGAATTAGAAGAGAGCAGCACTATACCTACATCCTCCAACATGTCCAAAGTATTGGAAGAACAGGGCCCTGGTACTGCTAAACATTCATCAGACATGAAGTGGGTTGTTCGATGTGTTAGCTGTGGTCAGGAAGGGCACAGGGCCAGGAGCTGTCCAACACGAGTGTTTATATGCTCCTTATGCAATGAAGAAGGCCACAAAGCCAAGAAATGCCCTCAGAAGGGCCAGAAATCATCAGAAATGAAGCGTAAATCGAATGTCCGATGTGTAAGGTGTGGCTTGGAAGGGCACAGGCGCAAAACATCAATCATAGACCGTCCGCAAGTCTAGTCCTTTGGTTACAGTAGACAACACATCAACACAAGTGGTTACATGCTTCCGTTGCAAGGAAGAAGGCCACTGTGCCAATCGATGCCCTCAGAAGCACCAGAAGCGTTAAGACTGTTCCAGCAAGAGCTATCGCTAAAGCAAACAGCATTACATTTTCAATCACGCCGAGAAGCAGCTTGGGAAGAGATCTTGGCACTGAAGATACAACCAAGGGGAAAGATACTCACTGAGCTGAGCCAGACCTCCTCCCTTGACTAAAAAGTTACTGCACAGTTACCGTCTTTTTCTTTAGATACTCTAGCGGTTGAAAAGTTTCCAAGGAAGGGCATTTTATATCATGTGTTTTTGGAATGTCTTTCTCTGAGATGATGTTGGTGCCAATTGACGATCTGATGAGAAGACATTCCCAAGATGGGATTCACAACCACTTGCATTGTGCAAGTCTACTGGCATATTCTTTGGTAGTAAATGCTTCTCCATACTTCATGTACTTGATGAATAAGTGTACGGGATACATCTGGGTAAGAACCTTTTTGTTTTGTTTCTGGTAGAGGGTCTAGTGAAGTTTTTTGACAGGAGCACACATAATAAACTTAAAAAGACTTAGTGTTGGCAGAGCGAATGTTTAAAAGACCAGTGTTGGCAGACCGAATGTTTACTGGTCAAATACTGCAATTACTTTCTTTCATATGAATCCTCTGTATAAGTGTTATTTTTATCGAAATATGTACTGCTGTTGTGTTCTCAAAAGATTCACAATAAGCTCTCCACTTAACCATTTCATAACATGCATTCAGAATAAC